ATTTTGGTTACACGAGTCTGTTAACTTTGGGGTAATTCATTGGACCTGTATACTTACCATTTGTAACTATTTGTATATTTTTGAATGTGTATTATATGTCAATTAAGAAAATTTTTTAAAAAGCCAAGAAGATGTGGTCCATATATACAATGGAATATTACTCAGCCACCAGAAAGGATGAATACCCAACTTTTGCATCAACATGGATGGGACTGGAGGAGATTATGCTAAGTGAAATAAGTCAAGCAGAGAAAGTCAATTATCATATGGTTTCACTTATTTGTGGAACGTAAGGAATAGCATGGAGGACATTAGGAGAAGGAAGGGAAAAATGAAGGGGGGAAATTGGAGGGGGAGACAAACCATGAGAGACTATGGACTCTGAGAAACAATCTGAGGGTTTTAGAGGGGAGGGGGGAGGGAGATGGGTTAGCCCGGTGATGGGTATTAAAGAGGGCACGTGTTGCTTTGAGCACTGGGTGTTACACGCAAACAATGAATCATGGAACACTACATCAAAAACAAATGATGTGTACTGTATGCTGACTAACATAAAAAAAAAAAAAAAAGCCAATGTGGCGGACCTGAGTGCAAGTGAGGAAAGTGGAGAATGGTAAACTCCAAGATCAGGGAGCTAGAAAGAGACCAGATCATGGCCTTATCAGCCATGGGGAGGAATTTTGGTAATATTTTAATGTAATGGGAAGTCACTGGAGAATTTTGGGCAGGACAAAACCTTAACCGAGTGACACTTAATAAGCTTACTTGGCTGCTGGGTAGAGAACGGATTGTGGCAAGGACAGAAGCAAGAGGGACTAGCTTAGGCAGGAGATACTTGTGACTTCAACTAGGGTTGTAACAGTGGAGATGTGAACAGTGGCCCGATCCAAAGTATATTTTGAGGTTAGAGCTGTAAAGACTGGTTCATAGATTAGATTGGGAGATCAGAAAGAAGATGCTGCTGAAGTTTTTGTCCTGAGAAGCTGGGTGAATGGTGGTGCTGTTTACTGAGGGAGCAGCACATTTAAGGAGATATCAAGAGATTTACATCTGATGTATGAACATTGAGAAAGATATTAGATACTTAAGTGGAAACATTAAGTAGGCAGGTATATATAAAATTCTAGAGAAATCAGGATGGGGAAATGATTTAAATCATTAATGTTATGGTGCTTAAGTTCCTGGACTCCTGGAAGACGTCACCTAGGAGGCGAATGTAGAACGAACAGAGTGTAGGTGAAGTGGAGTAGAGGGATGACACCTGATCATTGGTGGGGGCAGATCAACATTTGGATGTCAGGGAGAAAGGAAAGAGCAACTACTAAGATAGAAGGAAAACCAGGAGGGTATGGTGTCTCAAAGTTAGGAGAAGTGTTTCCTGAAGTAGGGACTAAGCAACTCTGCCAAATGTTCCTGAGATATCCAGTTAGAGGAAATGAGATTTGAATAGTGGGTTCGGTAGGATGCAGGGAGAGTATTTGAGAATTAGGAATTAGAATGACATCTTACATTTGGGAAATAAATCTATATAGTATAACCATTAATACAATAAAACTTGAAGACTTTGAAGCCGTTTTAGTCTAGCAAAGGGTACCAGCTCAGGTTAATGGTTAAAAAGTATGTAACATTAAATTTTGAAAGTTTCAAGGGGGACTTATTGTAAACAACCTGTAATGGATTCTTTTATATAACATACAAAAATTATATCTGAATCTGCCATGAAGGTGCTACATCCTTTTCAGTGCTGATCAGCATTTATATTCTTAGTACTTCCAAGTGCAGTGGCTTGCATTTTTTCCAGCCTTCCTCTTAATTAAAAGGTTTTTAAAATTGGTTCTTAATGGTACTTGTGTCAAGCATCTCTTATTCTGAAAGCTTATTATTAATAAGTTCTTCCTAAAATCTTGAAGTCTTTGATTTCATTTTATCAGCTATGGGTGAAACAAAATATATTATGTAATACAAGATAAAGAACTGAATCAGTGAATATAGGATCTGTAGTTTCTTTGTCAAAGAATATGGGGCTCATAAATTTCTCTTTGGATTTCAGGAGGTAGATAAAGGCCCTCTATAGAGAAGTTGGGCTGTTAAGTGGTTCTCTTGTCAAGTAAGGAGGATTTCAGAAGATGTAATGGAGTGACTTGGATGAGCAGTGTTTGCAGGAAAAGGCATACAAGGCAGCTTATATTGTGTGATGCTGAAGCATGACAGGATGTAGATCTGGTTCTAATTGAAAATGTAGCAAGAGACTTTTTTAATTGAAAAGAATATGGACTCAAACAGATCCAGAAAAGAGAATGGAGCAGTTATTAGACAAATGTGGGGATCAAATGGGAATCCCTAGACAAAAACTGGCAGCATTGCTTGTCTTCCTGAAAATTGAACTGCCCAAGCTATCTCTGCTGTTTTTTGTAGGTTTGCTTTTTTCTCTGTGCTATATATGGGCTGCATGCAGCCTTCTCAGTTTATTCATCATCACCCTGTATATTTCTGCTTTAACTTGGCTGTCATGTCTTCTTTGGCTCAAATTTCAAATGACCTTTAAGCTTTGGCTGTCATCGACTCACAGCAGCCCACTGTGTTTTAGTTTAAATACCTGAGAGTAAGAATCTTGTCTAACACGCTTTTCTTTCTCTCCCTTTGCTCCCTGGGCCTTACAGCTCTGGTTAGCCTTGATTGGCTACCCTTGGGTGCCCATCCCTAGTTCAGCCACTGCTCAGGGAAGGGCCACGTCTTTGGGTAGAGAAAGGGCAGTGATGGGGCAGACTGTGGCCTTCTCTCAGTGTGTCTTCCTCACTTTAAAATTGTATGATTAATTGAAATTGTAAAGTCTTGGGATTTTGGAGAAATGGCATGAAGGCACTATGGTTGTTGGAATAAGCATGGCAAGAGTAGTGGTAGAGGTAGGCTGGGCCAGACTATGTAGAGCCTTGCATGCTATGAATGAGTTTGAAGTGTGTGTTTGTGTCTCATAAATATCCGCGTTTGTTCAAATATGTGTTAGAGATACATAGGGAAAAATCTGAAGTGTTACATACCAAATTAATAATAACTGTTTCTCTGGAAAGAGGGAGGAGACTAGGATTGGGGTTGTGGTCAGATTTTAACCTTTATATATAAATATTTGGTAAAGGGGGATATAGTCATTGCTGTTTGTGGAATTCAGAGTTAATTAAAAGAGGTAGGAGGCAATGACCAGAGGAGTATGGTTTGAAGCAGGTTCAGTCTGTGAGGCCTGGAGATCTACCTACTATGCAGCCCTAGGGAGGCAGTTCTGAGCCCTAGGACTCTAAAGAACAAAGTCGGAAAACTGGGAATCCAGTCCAACTCTAAGTTCTTAGCAAGATATTCCTGAACATTAATAACTCTGAGCTATAATGTGACAAACTAAAAGTTAGAATATGAATCAAGGACCTCTAAAATAATGTAATAAATTAATACTAAAACTAGTAATGCTCTCTTCATTAAAATTTGTAAGATTTCATAATCTTGAAGTATATACAGTCGAATTTGGGTCAGTATTGTCAGTTGAATGTGTCATAGTAGAATACCTATAACATGATATTTGCCTGTATGAAGAATATCCCAAACATTGTGGTTTTAACTTATAAGTGTTGACACCAAAAGATGTATGTAGTGGCTGAAGAATTTTATTCATTTTCATGTTTATTTACATGGTCTTCTAAAATTTAAGTTTAGCATATAATATATAAAATTTATAAGAAATTGCATGTGTGTTTTAGTGTTTCTTAGGAGGGTTTTAAAGTTTAAAGAACTTTTTTTTTATTATTATTCTTAAATATTTTTAAGTAGTCTCTACACCCAACATGGGACTTGAACCCACAACCCCAAAATCAAGAGTCACATGCTCCACTGACTGAGCCAGCCAGGTGCTTCCCCACCCCCCATCCTTTTTTTTTTTTTTTTTTACAGATTTTATTTTTTATGTAATCTCTATACCCAATGTGGGAAAAGTTTCAAGAACTTTTAAATGGCTGACCTGAGTATGAAAACACTTGAAAGAGTTGAAGAAATTGTAATGAAAGATTAGAAGAACAAGATACAAATGAGGCCCTTTCTGTTTAGTTAATGCTTACAGAACTCTGAAGTGCCTGATACTGCCCCAAACACTTTATACGTTTTTAACTCATTTAATACTGTGCTGACAAAGATAGACTACACTGGTTAAAAAGGATCAAGAATGAGAAACTAAAACAGTCTGACAGAAGTTCTGAATAATGTGAAAAGAACATAACATAGGAAATGCATGTTACAGTGTGAGCATTGGTGTTAACTGGATACTTTGTCATCACATGTATACCTCTTATTTCATTTTATTCAAATATGTTTTTTCCAAATATGTTTATTCAAAGATGGCTATTAAGTTTTCCCTTTTCAGTGACATGCAACAAATTAGAGATAGAGACTTTCAGCCAAATCTTACTTTCTAAAACTTATGTTTAGTAATTAGTTTTTAAGAGGTGTACAGTTGGCCCTGTTAAATGTTGTATCTGAGAAAAATGATGTTACTAATGTTATGAACTGTGTAATAAATGATGAAATATGTGAATAAATGTGTTAATATTGCTATTCAAAGCCACTGAAATTAGCTAGAATGGCTTGATTGTGCTCTTTTGATGACTTGTTCCACTGATGACAATACTCAGTGGTTCTGGGAACAGTCACTATTCTATAATGCTGTACTGGACTTGAAATGAGAGGGAATGGGGGAAGAGGACATTAAGTGTAACACAAAATACTGATTGAAAACATCTTAGTTAAAACAAATCTATTCCAGATACCCGGGATACGCATATATTTTTTGTCCAGTACTCCTGAAATTATGTGTTTTAGGGTTTTTCTCCAGTGTGTCTCCTAAAAGAAATTCTTGTAGAATATAAAGATAATTTACTTGGTTTAAAATGTTTGTGTGTGTATGAGTTTGCTTATATTTTTTTTTTTACAGTATTTTTAAACAACTTTTTGCCTTATATTCCTAGGGAGTTGGTCTCTCAGTTCATGGGCAATTCCGAGTGGCTACTGAAAAGTCTCTCTTTGCGATGCCAGAAACAGCAATAGGTAAAAACCCTCAATTTTTCATAATCACATCTAGAATTATCTTTGGATGCATTTCAGATTACACTGTTGTTAAAGAAATTGCTGGAATCTTGCTGAGATACAGCAATGAAAGAATTCTTAAAAAGAAATTAGGAAGATACCTGAAAGTTATATTAGCTCAGTAATTGTATCTGAAAACACAAAAGAATATTTAACTGGCAACACTAACACACTGGTCATTAATTTTAGATAAAAGATTATTAGAAAATAGTCTTGTTTTGGGCGCCTGTGTTTTGGCTCAGTTGTTAAGCGTCTGCCTTCGGCTCAGGTCATGATCCCGAGGTTCTGGGATTGAACCCCGCATTGGGCTCCCTGCTCCGTGGGAAGCCTGCTTCTCCCTCTCCCACTCCCCCTGCTTGTGTTCCTGCTCTCGCTATGTCTCTCTCTGTCAAATAAATAAATAAAATCTTTAAAAAAAAAAGTCTTGTTTTCAGATCTCTGATCCATTTTGATTTTTTTTATTTTTTTATTTAAGAGAAAGAGTGTGCCTGAGTTGGGTGGGGAGGTGCAGAGGGAGAGAAAATCCCAAGCAGGCTCCATGCTCAGCTTGATCTCACAACCGTGAGATCATGACCTGAGCCGAAATCAGTAGTTGGCCACTTAACCGACTGAGCCACCCAGGTGCCCCCATTTTGAAATTTTTGTACATGGTGTGAAATATGGATCAAAGATATAGATCAAATTTTATTATTTTGCACATGGAGATATAGTCATTCACACACTACATTTTGAAAAAGCTGTTGTTTCTCCACTGATGGCTTTTGTACCTTTATATGTGTTATATTGGTGCCAACACTACAGTCTTGATTATTGTTGCTTTATTGTAGAAATCAGGTAGCAATAATCCTCTCATTTTGTTGTTTTCCCTAACTTGTTTTGGCTATAAAGATCCTTTGTATTTCTATATGAATTTTAGAGTCAATTCTGAATGATAGCCTTGCTGGATAAAGTATTCTTAGTTGTAAGTTTTTTCCTTTCAACACTTTAAATATATCCTGCCACTCTCTTTTGGCCTGTAAAATTTCTGGGGAAAAATCAGCTGATTGTCTTACGGAGTTTCCCTCTTATGTGACTATTTGTCTTTCTCTTGCTGCCTTTAAGATTCTTTATTTTTAAGTTTTGCTATTTTTAATTATTATGTCTTGGTGTGGGTCTCTTTGGGTTCATCTTGTTTGGGACTTTCTTTGATTCTTGGACCTGGATGTCTGTTTCCTTCCATGGGTTAGGGAAGTTTTCAGCCATTATTTCCTCAGATAAGTTTTCTGCCCCTTTCTTCTCCTAGGGCCCCTATAACATGAAATATGTACACTTGATGTTTTCCTAGAGATCTCTAAAGCTACCCTCATTTTTTAAAATTCTTTTTTCTTTCTGCTGTTCTGATTAGGTAATTTCTACTATTCTGTCTGCTAAATGCTGATTTGTCCTTCTGTATCATTTCAGTGATTCTTCAGCTCTGGTTCTTACATTTTCTAACTCTTTGTTCAAGTTCCTTCATTCTTAAGTGCAGTGAGCATCTTTATGACTATTACTCTGAACTCTTTATCAGGTGGTTTACCTGATAAATTACTTATCTCTGTTTCATTAAGGTTTTTTTCCCTCCCTAGGGTTTTATCTTCTTTTGTTTGGAACATATTCCTCTGTCTCCTCATTTTGTTTGACTTTCTGTGTTTGTTTCTGTGAATTAGAATAGCTGTCTACCTCTCTTAGTTTTGAAGGAGTGGCCTTGAGCAGGAGCATCCTCTGTATAGACTGGTATGCCTGGCAGCTTTGGTTGGTTGAGCTGGAGCAGAGATGGGCCATGAGTATGCTGCTCTGGGGTTACCTTGACAGGACAGGTGGGGGGATGGGGTGGGCACCTTCAGCAGATAGCTAGAATTCATGTGGGCTAGGGATCTGGGACTTGCTAGGGCAGCCCTATAGATTGACTAGAGTGCCTGGACCCTGCTCCTGTCTGCACTGTGAAGGTGGATTGGGTTGGGGGGAGGAGGGGTGCAATGTAAAATGTGATGCTTGTTGGCACCTCTGACCCTAGAGAGTTCCAGCAGTCCCTTGCCCATTTGGTGGATGCTGCAGGGTTAGTAAGTGGATTTTCCTCACATTCTAATTGCTCTTTAAAACAGCTGTGTTTGTTTTGTTTTGTTTTTTTCCACTGTGCCCAGAGTCAGTGAGTCTGTGCAGGGGCCCCTCAGTGATATCCCTCCTTACTGTAAGGCATCACATTGGGAGTGGTGTTTCCGTGGTTACTGCCTGTATCTCTGTCTCTCCTGCTGTTGTATATGTGGTTCCCCCCATCACTTTATGTGCAGAAGCTGTTCAATTGGTTCTCAGTTCTTTTTCAGCAGGAATTGCTCTCTATGTAGATGTAGATGTGGTGTATCTGTGGAAGAAGGTGAATTCAGGGTCTTCCTAAGCCACCATCGTGGACTGCCACCTGAAGTACAATTGATTCTGTATTGACTTTGTGTCCTGCAAACTTCCTAAACTCATTAGTTCTAGTGGATTTTTTTTTTTTTTGGTAGATTGTACTAGGGTTTTTTTGGTATAAATAATTACATTATTTACAGATAAAGTCACTTTTACATTTTCCTTTCCAATCTGGATACTCTTTATTTTTCTTGCCTTACTCCACTGGGTTAGAACCCCCAATACAATGTTGAATAGAAGAAGTATTGAGAGTGGGCATTCTTGCCTTGTTCTTGATCTGAGGGAAAACATTCAGTCCTTCAATTAAGTGGGACGCTGGGTATAAGTTTTTCATAGGTGCCCTTCATCAGGATGAAGATGTTTTCTTCTATTTCTAAATTGCTGAGGGTTTTTATTAGGAATGCATTTTGAATCTAAAAAGCCAAAACCTTTTCTGCATCAGTTGAGGTGATTATTGGTTTTTCTTTTTTAGTTTGTTAACATGGTGAATTACTTTGCTTGATTTTTTTTAACATTAAACTAGCCTTGCATTACTAGGATAAATCTCACTCTGGCATGAGGTGTTATACTTTTTATATGTTGTTAGGTTTGATATACTAAAATTTTATTTGGAATTTTTGCATCTGTGTGTTCATGAAAGACATTGGTCTGTGGTTTTCTTGTAATGTCCTTGCTTCCTTCTGGTATGGGGGTAATGCTGGCCTCATTTTCTGGAGGAGTTTCTGTAGAATTGGTATAATTTTTTTCTGTGTTTGGTAGAATTCATCAATGAAGCCATCTAGACCTGAAGTTTTCTTTGGGGGAAGGTTTTCAACTACAAATTCAAAGTCTTTAATATATGTAGGGCTATTCAAATTATCTCTTTCTTGCACAAACTTTGGTAGGGTGGATCTTTTAAGAAATTTGTCCAATTTATTAGCATCAGGTTCTTCATAAAGTGAAAACTTTTGTGGGGGACACAATTCAGTCCATAACAGGGACTTATCAGCATATAGATGTTATCTAGAGCCATAAGTGCTAAGGAGATGTGTGTGTAGGGATAGCCTAAGATCAAGCCTAGGCACAGCAGCATGTAGAGGTCAGGCGAAGGAAGCAGACCCAGCAAGGGGGAATGGAAAGAAGCAGCCATTGAGACAGGGGCAAAAAAAAAAGAGAATGTAGTACCCTGGAACAGAGGAACATATTTCAGGACAGACTGTGTTTTGACTTGGGCAGAGTGCTGCTGAGGCTGTGGGGCAGGTAGTATATAGCGTAGAATGCATGTAGAGTGTAGAATGTTGGGGAACTGAAAGAAGAACAGAGGGGCTGGAATGTAGTAAATGAGTAGTAAGAGATGTACTTGAAAAAGTGATTGGGGGCCTTGAAGACTTTGATAAAATGTTGGTTTTAATCTAATAGAAATAGTTATGGCATAGTTTGGAGCAGTAGAAGGCAACACTCTTATCAAGATTTGTGTTATTAAAAAGATCACTCTGGCTATTGTATGGAGAACTTTCAGGAGAAGGAATCAATAGGTCATAGTCACTGGTGGGTGTTAAAAGGGTGGTATGAGAAGAGGATGTTAAGACTGGATGGTTGTGCACTTTTTGAGGTAAGTGATACTAGAAGACAGATGATAGGAGTCTGGGGAAGTCATTAGTTCAACTTTAGACCTATTAGAATGCTGCTAATTCTTTCAAGTCTAGGAACTTTTTGTCAAGTAGGACTGGAAAGAATTTGAACGCTTGTGTTTTTATCTCAATTTCATTAAATGAAGCAATCTTAGAATAGATATCTGGATTATAAAACTAGAGGGTCACAATTGTTTAAGGAGTTCTTAAATACCAAAAAGTAGTGTACTGGCAAGTATTTGCATATATGCTATTTTCAGTTGTTACCACTAGAGAGAGTAAGGGAATTTAAAAAAAAAAAAAAAGATGGCTAAGAAAAGAGTAAATGCAAGTGATTTTATTAGGTATAAACATTCTTGGTGTAGGACGAAAGGTTATTGCATCACTTTAAATATCTTGAATATTAGATAATTGATTAACAGAATAGACTATGATTTGAATGGTAATAATGAATTTTCACATAATACAGCTTTAGATTATGCATATTTTTATCATTTGAAAGAAAACATTTTTTTTTATTTAAATTCAATTAGCCAACATATAGTGCATCATTAGTTTTTGATGTAGTGTTCAATGATTCATTTTCATTGTTTACTATTTCAGAGATTATTAAAAATAGTGATAAGGAAATTTTAGGTAATATTTAATGAGTACAACTTATATACAAAAAGTTATGCCATCAAATACTTTATTGACTTCTATAGAAATGAGACATGAAAATTTTGAAAAATACTCAAGTCAGAACAATTTAATAACAAGTCTTTTGTGATACTGATTGCACTGGAAAGTACTTAGTAATATCTTTAGTATAGATTCAAGTAATAGAGAGAAATGGCCATTTGATCTCAAAGAGTTATAGTCATCTTTTTAATTTGAATCATTATTATCTCTTTTCATTATTCAATACAGGACTATTCCCTGATGTGGGTGGAGGTTATTTCTTGCCACGACTTCGAGGAAAACTTGGTTATTTCCTTGCATTAACAGGATTCAGGCTGAAAGGAAGAGATGTGTATGCAGCAGGAATTGCTACACATTTTGTAGATTCTGAAAAGGTAATTACTTGGATTATTGCATTTTGTGTTATTGGAATAACTCCTGTTGCATGGGAAGGCAGTATAAGTGGTTGGGATCCCAGGCTTTTGGTTAGATGTGGGTCTGAATCTGGGATCTACTGTTTAAAGTTGTGTGACCTTTGGAAAGATAGTTAAGCTCTCCAATCATGTTTCCTCATGTGCAAAATGGAGATAATTATGTCTGGATTCAGGACTGTTTTGCCTGGCACCTTCAGTGAATATCTTTTCATGAATAATTACACTTTGGTTAAAAAAATACCTACTTCAAGAAAATCTAATATATAAGAATCTAAATTTATATATAAAAAGATAGGCTTTTATTTTACAAAAACATTTTTGAAAGGTCCTCTTGGTTGTGAGTTTCCCTACTAGTGCATTTAAGAGTTACATTTGTAAAATATGGTCTTAAAAACTTTTCTAAAGGCTGTTGCAAGGGACACATATTACTTAGCTTTGTCTTTTTTTTTTTTTTAACAGAAAATTTAACAGTTTTCTTAGCACAGAATAGCACAGTGGCAAAGAACGTACAGACAGACAGCTTAGGTTTAAATACTAGCTTGAGTTTAGCCTCTATCCCCTAGTTTGCCCATTTCTATATGGGGATGGCAGTTCCTACCATAGTAGTTGAATATTTTTGTGGTCAATGTAACAGAAAATCCAGTTCAAGGTGATTTTGCCTCAGAATTTCCAGCAAGAAACTTGGGATTTATTCTGCTTCAACTCCTCGAACTGGCTTATATTACCCTTGAACCCATGAGCCAGTTAGCCTACATCAACTAACCCACCTTGCTAATGTGTTCCATATCTGGAAGTATGGGGTGAACTTAGCTTTCTAGGAGGAAGCACATAGATCTCCAGATGCATATCTGATCTTGAGAGAGGGATGTTTTGGGATAGGAGGAGGAATGTTACAAAAAAGTATGAGAACCTTCTATCACATTGCTTGAAGTTTCAGATCTTTCTCCATGTTACGGGCATCCACAGTCACACTGAGTAGGTGTCTGTCCCATCCTTCCCGTGAGCTGTAAGAGGAAGCAAACATGGGACTCCATTATGTACTCTTGAGGGACACCCTTTGTTAGAGTGGAATTTAGTTAAGAATGGGAGAGAGCGCTGATCCACAGCTTAATTCCCTTCTTTGTCGGCCTGCTCAGTAATAATTTCTACAGTGTGTAGGCTGCCATCCACAGGACCTGTACAAGATAACAGAAATGAGTAATGAATGTTGGGGTTGAGACTAGAGGGGGTACAAAAGATAAAAGATAAATAACCATCTGTCTCATCTGACAAAGTAGAATATGAGAAGTGTAACAAAGAATATAGAGAAGGTACTCAATGGATTGAAAGGAGGGAAAACTTAAAAGGCTGGAAGTTTTCTCGTAGAGGTTGCAGTTCAGCTGGGCCTTCATATGAGTACTGTCAGGAAAAAGCATTCTAGATAGAGGAAACATGTAATGAGCAAACCAGCGGGCAAGAAAGCTTAGCTATGTTTTGGAAACAATAAAAAGTCCCATTTGGCTGAGCATAGAATAGTATGTGAGGGATATAGATGGAGATTAAGTGTGGTTATATTATAGAGCTGTGCACTGACCATAGTAACCATTAGTCACATGTGGCAATCTTAAAGTTAATTAAAATAAAATTTATAATTCAGATCTTTGTTGCAGTACTGCATTTCAAGTATTTAATAGAGAGAAACAAAGATGAATGTCTCTCCTCTTTAGTTTCTTCCATCTTTATCTAATTCCTTGCAAGGCAACATTTGCTGTGTGGGAATGTGTGTGCATTCAACTTCAGAGAAAATTTCCTTCACTGATTAGCTGAAGAGAGCACATCATAATTTTAAGACAAGTATTTTTAAAAAGAGTATATAGTTTCTTTAAAAGAAAGTCCTGGTGCAGCCACTCTGGAAAACAGTTTGGAGTTTCCTCAAAAAGTTGAAAATAGAGCTACCCTACAACCCAGCAATTGCACTACTGGGTATTGACCCCAAAGATACAAATGTGGTGATCTGAAGGGCTATGTGCACCCCAATGTTTATAGCAGCAATGTCCACAGTAGCTAAACTGTGGAAAGAGCCAAGGTGTCCATCAACAGATGAATGGATAAAGAAGATGTGGTATATATATACAATGGAATATTATGCAGCCATCAAAAAACCCGAAATCTTGCTATTTGCGATGACATGGATGGAACTAGAGGGTATTATGCTAAGTGAAATAAGTCAATCAGAGAAAGACATGTATCATATGATCTCGCTGATATGAGGAATTCTTAATTTCAGGAAACAAACTGAGGGTTGCTGGAGTGGTGGGGGGTGGGAGGGATGGGGTGGCTGGGTGATGGACATTGGGGAGGGTATGTGCTATGGTGAGTGCTGTAAATTGTGTAAGACTGATGAATCACAGACCTGTACCTCTGAAACAAATAATACATTATATGTTAAAAAAAAAAAAACAAGGTAGTAGGAAGGGAAAAATGAAGGGGGGGAAATCAGAGGGGGAGACGAACCATGAGAGACTATGGACTCTGAGAAACAAACTGAGGTTTCTAGAGGTGAGGGGGTGGGGGGATGGGTTAGCCTGGTGATGGGTATTAAAGGGGGCACATATTGAATGGAGCACTTGGTGTTATACACAAACAATGAATCATGGAACACTACATCAAAAACTAATGATGTAATGTATGTATGGTGACTAACATAATAAAATTTTTTTTAAAAAGCCCATGTTTGTATTGGGGTTCAGATCTGTTTTCTTTTTTTTCCTCTTTTAGTTGGGCATGTTAGAAGAAGATTTGTTAGCCTTAAAATCTCCCTCAAAAGAAAATATTGCAGATGTCTTAGATGCTTACCATGCAAAGGTAATCTTGTCAGTATTCTCACTTCAGATTTTAATTCATGGGGAAGGGGAAATGATTGAAAAATTAGCAATTGGTGAATGTTATAGTTTGTGGATATAAAGATGCTGGGATTTATTAACTTGAAAGCTTGATGGAAAGTCAGAGCTTCAGAATTGTTAGGATAGCCATCTAAGAAGATGACTTCTTTGCCGCACAAGAACACAGCTTATCTTCTCATTGCTGGTGAATTTCAGCGTGTAGTTTTGTGATTGGCCCTTGCAACAGCTTTTTGCAATGCACCATGACATTTCTGTAATGGATGGTTCAATGTTGACCCTGTTGAGCTGCTAAAGTGAAACTCTGATGCATATCTAAGTATAATGATAAAGTATACTGCATAATGATAAATTATATATCATATATAAGATAAAGTATATATTGTTCACTTTTAATTCCTGACTTGTGTAACTTAAATTTTCTTTTAAGAGCCAAAAATCTATAAAAATGTTACATGACCGGATGCCTGGGTGGCTCAGTTGGTTAAGCAGCTGCCTTCAGCTCAGGTCATGATCCCAGGATCCTGGGATCAAGTCCCGCATCAGGCTGCCCGCTTAGCAGGGAGCCTGTTTCTCTCTCTCCCTGCCATTCCTGCTTGTGCTTGCTCTCTCTCTCTCTGACAAATAAAAAAATAAAATCTTAAAAAAAAAAAAAGTTATATGACTTCTAGTAAAACATGATGGGTTCAATATATGCTCCCTTCTAAAACCCCACTAAAACTGTAATAAAGGAATAAAAAAGACACAAATCCACAAATAGAACAGAAGAGGAGACAACGGCAGGTATGAGATGTCAATATTTTGGAAGCTTGAGAACAGAAGGACGAGGGCAGCTACTTTAGACTTGAGAACGCTGAAATATCTTATCCTTTAGTAGGGGAAGCCAGGAAGAAGCAAACCAGTTTTTGCTCTGTACCCTCTGTAAGGTACCAGAGTCCCCTGAAACTGGGATGTGGAGGTGGGCAGAAAAACAAAAGATTCCTGCAAATTTTTATAAGGTGCAGTTAGGCCTCCAGAAGTCTCTCCCCTGTACCACCAGCCATCCTTTCATAGTTTGGCTGAGAGTAGAAATTTACTACTTAGGTCAAATCAGACAGACCTAGCTGATCATGGGGGAAGGCGAAGTGAAGTGCTCTACTAAAAAGAGTCAGAACATACTAAATAGGAAGACCTCTAGCCTCTTTTCCTAGTTAGCTTCCAGGCTATTAAATATCCTCTATCTTAGTTTGGGCAACTATAACAAAAATACCACATGGCTTAAACAATAGAAACTTCTTTCTCACAGTTCTAGAGGCTGGGAACTCCAAGATCAGGTGTCAGAAAATTAGATTCTTGGTGAGGACCTGTTCCTGGTTTGCAGATGGACAGACGCCTTCTTTCTATATCCTCACACAGCAAAGTGAGCTCTCTCAGGTCTCTTCTTACAAGGGCACTAATCCCATCATAAGGGCTCCACCCTCTTGACCTAATTCCCTCTCAAAGGCCCCACCTCCCAAGTACCATCACTTTGGGGATTAGAGTTTCAACATGAATTTTGGGGTGACACAAACATTCAGTCAATAGCACCATCCCACTCCTAAGCAGTACCTTTGAAGAAAAAGGAAAAAGCCTGTATTTGAGGACATCCCCCCTGCAACAATGAAACATCCAGGTCTTTGCTTAATCTTTGCTTAATTTATAACTCATCAGACAATTGACAGTCCTATAACTGTGATCGACTTTACACATAAAGCTACTTAATTTTAGTACTTCATGCTAAAATTTTTTTATGCCAAGTATAAAAACAAATTGGTCAGAACAAAAAAAGCACTTGAAGCAAGCTGTGCAGGGAAAGGAAACTTGAAAAAAAGAAAAACTATAATTGTTAAAACTGTAATTGTTCAGGTCAGAGGAAAATACTTCATCTGTGAAATAACAGATGTAATATAGTAGTCAAAGAATAAAAAAGAATGTGATAACAGAAGGGAAAAAACCAGCAACAAATTAGATTAAAATTGAAGGTTGAGGAAAACTATAAGAGGACAAAAAGGATAATAAGATGGAAAATGGAGAGAAAGGAACATTAGAGGTCTATATCTAATTATTAGGAATTCATAACAGAAGAGAAAGGGGAGGAGATATTTAGAAAAATAGTATAAAAATTTATTCAGAACTGAAGAATATGAATATGGATTGACAGAGCCTCTGAATACTCAGTGCAATGAATATGAACACAGAGCACATGAGGATTTCATCAGATTTTGTCAAAGCATTTAACAGTCTCTCATGTTGGGTAAATATAGCATGGATTAGAGTGGGTGGGAGTTGAAGGGCCTTACCAGAGAGTACTGCTAAACGTGTGGGTATTAGTCTATAGATAAAGTCATCTTGGCCTTTTTCAGCTTTTTTTCTCAGTGATTTGGATGAGAATGTTGACAGCATTTTGATCAAATTGATTTGAAACTAAGAAAAAAAATTAGGTAAAAGAATATGGATTAAAAAACCCCTTCAAGTTTATAGAGTGATCTGTTTAATAAGATCAGTGTGAAAGGTAATAAATGTATAGGAAAAACACTCCCTGTGTTTTCTCATACTACCACATTCACAACACTTCTGACACCAGATGTGTGGGTTTTCTACACATCAAGCAATTCAATGCAGCCCACCTGGGTGTCCTATAATTCATTTCGGTAGTGACACTATCTACCTGGATAGATATCTGCATCAGATCCCACAACCTAAGAGCTCAGTCCCACAAGACTGACCCCACTTCAGATGCCAGTCACAAGTCCTAGCTTGTCACCTATACTTCTGATTGACCATAAATTGGGGTTCTCATGACCCCTTCCTTGGGTTCAATAATTTGCTAGAATTTCTCACAGAACTCAGAAATACTTAATGTTTGTTGGTTTATTACAAAGGATACAATAAAGGATATGAATGAATAGTCCAGTAAAAGGTACACAGGGTAAGGTCTGGAAGGGTCTCAAGCCCAGGAGCTTCTGTCCCAATGAAGTTGGGATGTACTACTCTCCCTGCTTGTGGATGTGTTCATTAACCTGGAGCTCTCCAAACTCCATCCTTTTGGATTTTTATGGAGGCTTTATTACATAGTCACTATTGGTTAAGTTATTAGCTATTGGCGATTGAACTTAATCTCCAACCCCTTTTTCCTTACTGGAGGTAGAGGGAGGGAGGCGGGAGGTAGTGGCAGTGTTGGGGCGGGGCTTGATTAGAAGGTGGGACTGAAAGTTCTAATTTTCTAATCACTGGTTGGTTCCCCTGGAGACCAGCCCCATTCTTAGGAGCTTTCCAAGGGTCACCTCTGTTAACATAACTGTGATGGGAAGGGGCTTGTTATGAATAACAAAAGGCCCATTCACCTTAATTTGGGGACAAAAGACCAAATACAACATACAGCAAAAGATGCTCTTCTTAAAGAAATTTCAAGGTTTGGGGGAGCTGTGAGCCAGGAACAAAGAACAAATATATGGGCAAAGACCAAATATGTATTTATTATTTTATTTTATTTTTAAGTAATCTCTATTCCCAATGTGGGGCTCAAACCTACACCCCCAAGATCAAGAGTCGCATGCTCTACCAACTGAGCAGCCAGGTTTCCCTGTATTTCTTATTTTTAATTTTTTTTTAAGATTTTATTTATTTTTTAGAGAGCGAGCAAGAGAGAAACAGCATGAGAAGGGAGAGGGTCAGAGGGAGAAGCAGGCTCCCCGCTGAGCCGGGAGCCCGATGTGGGACTTGATCCCAGGACCCTGGGATCATGACCTGAGCTGAAGGCAGACGCTTAACCATCTGAGCCACCCAGGCGCCCTATTTTTTTAAACTTTTTATATCTGAGTTTGTTTTTTTTTTTTAAGATTTTATCTGAGAGAGAGAGAAAGAGAGAGCTTGAGCGGGGAGGAGGGGGAGAAGCAGACTCCCCGCTGAGCAGAGAGCCCCACCTGGGGCTTGATCCCAGGACCCGGGGATCATGACCTGAGCCAAAGGCAGACGCTTAACCAACTGAGCCACCCAGGCGCCCCTGTATTTCTTATTTTAAATCACAGGGTCACAATAGAGATAAGTGAAAATTTTGGATTTCAGTCCAAAGTACCAAATTTTTAAAGTACAGCATGGGGAGAAATGTAGCTTACAACAGCACTGGTTTAAAAAAAACAAAAAAACCAAAAACATAATAGTACTGCCCCCAAACTAACTCAGACTTAGTCCTATTAGTAAAAGGGTTATATCCAAACAAGGGTATGTGGAGTCCTGATGCACTTTGCTATGATTCGGTCATACCTATAGCTAACGTGTACATTCCACACTTGATAAACTGGAACTTGTGCATAAGAAGGACCTGATTGTGAGGGGACACAAAACTGCACTCTGTGAGAAAAGAGGTGGAAGCAGGATTCACTAGAACTATAAACGTGAGAGGACTGACCTGGCCCAGAATTAAAAAAAAAAAAAAATCCTAATTACAGTTACTTAAGCACTGTGAGTTCCTTCTCAAGCTACTGTTTTCTCTCTCTGGAGGTCAGTGCTACACAGATATCAGGGATGTGGTAGGAGTTTTATGTATCAAATGGAAATTTGGGCAGGATGACTTCTCAGGTCCCTTATAATCCTTAATTCATTGCCATACTTTAATGATGTAGCATATATAATAATATATAAATAAAAATAAAAGAACATATTTTGCCTTTGGCACTTTTAAGAACTAGTCTGGAATAACACCATCTGAATTTTGAACATGTGGTAGCTATTTATAAGACTGTTGGATATAATTTGAAAGTGATAATCTGTCACAAAGTGTATTATTAAATAGGATGACATTTTAAAGGATTTTTAGATTTGGGTTACTTCAAGTGAATTATAAGATTTTTCTTTTTTAAATAGTCCAAGATTGATCAAGACAAGTCTTTTATACTTGAGGAACACATGGACAAAATAAACAGGTACTTAAAGAGAGGTCTCAGTACATCTCTTCTTTTGGAAGGACTATATTAAATTGAATTTGCTAACATTGTAATTACATTGTGTTTAATGCACTGAATTTGAGATCAGATAGAGTGCTTTTATTTTTTCTTTTTAAAGTAGCTTCTCGCCTACTCTTTCAGGGGGGAAATAAGTCCATTATACTGAAATAATCTATCGTGCTGATTCATTTTAGTGTAAAACTTTTTTTTTTTTTTAATGGGAAAGAGAGGCTAGAAAATAACAATTGAATTATCTTCGTAAAGTCATTTTTTTATGAACGTCTTATGAAGCTGATCAAAAGATTTTTTGTGCAGTGATTTGAGAGATTGATACACTGGCTTAAGGAACAGAAGAGGAGGGATAGAAACTATTGGAAAATAAGACAATTATCTCTACATTTTAGAAGCATCAGTTTTTCACAGTTAAGATATTTATTTATATGTAATATATACAAAAAAGCATAAGAGAAAATTTAGGCTTTATTTTGCATTAATAAAAGTAGACTGCAAACACTTACCCAGAGAAGCAAGGTTTTATTTCATCATCCTGTAAAATAGCTTGGAAAATTTTTCATTATTGAAATGGGGTTTGGGGAAAGCCTGTGTTTAGATTCATTGCTATTTTGGAAAGAAGAAATCGCTTGCAGATTGGTGAAATCATGTGTTTCCTTTTTTATAGTTGGTTCTCGGCCAATACCTTGGAAAAGATAATTGAAAATTTACAGCAAGATGGTTCATCTTTTGCCCTAGAACAGTTGAAGGTAATATATGGATCATTTCTGTCCTGAGCGTGGTGAATCCTTGTGGTAAGGAAGCCTCTTTGAAGCCTCTTGTGTCAGAACTCTGTGGTGGTGACATAGACCACTGCACAGGTTTTTGTTTTTTTTCCCCTGAACTCATTTGAGCCTCAGAAAGCATTTTCACAAAACCTTTATCTAAACCCAAGTGCCTTGTCTACCTGCTGGATGTTGACAACAAAGCTGAGCTGTTTTTAGGTCCTGTGAGTGTAACAGAGAAAGACTTAAGGAGGCATGCCTCATCTCCTGGGAGTCCTCTTTGTCCTGGGGAGAAGCATTTAAGAACATTTTTATTAGAAGGGTTGGGTTACTGGAGTATAATCTTTTTTCTTTTTTCTTTTTTCTTTTTTTTTAAAGATTTTATTTATTTGACAGAGACACAGTGAGAGAGAGAACACAAGCAGGGGGAGTGGGAGAGGGAGAAGCAGGCTTCCTGCTAAACAGGGAGCCCGATGCGGGGCTCGATCCCAGGATCCCGGGATCATGACCTGAGCCGAAGGCAGACGCTTAACAACTGAGCCCACCCAGGCGCCCTGGAGTATATAGTCTTTTTATAATATATTGCAATTCAATTCTGCCATTAATCTATAAATTCAGTTGAATATGCAACAGATCAGTATATGGTCTTTCTAAGCAGTAGGTTTAATTTAAAAAAATGATCCTTTTTAACCTGGTCAGAGGCCCCATCTATCCCCATAGCTGAGGTTTAAGCAGTGTTTCTCAGTGTTAGGCACACTTTGATGTTTCTATGATGTCACTCAACTGGTAACAGCAAAACAAAGCTGTTTTTGTATAAAGGCGTGCATGAGTACTGACATGCTTGGAACTCTAAGTATGAGACTTGGAATATTTCAGACTTCTACACAAAGGAGAGAAAAAATTGTGTTTCCTTTTACTTTATAGAAAAGGTGTTAATAGCTTGTCCTTATCTGATAGTATTTTTTAGTTTATAGGTGTAATTGTCACATTTCGGTTGTCAGAAAACTTAGAAAAGTTTAAAGTTTCACCTGTGAAGATGAAAACACTTCCCCATTGTTACTGTAGTGTCTCTTTCTCTTTTTTGAAAGATTATATTTATTTGAGAGCTGCTCTTGCACATCGGGGGTGGGGAGGGGCAGAGGAAGAGGGATAAGCAGACTCCCCACTGAGCAGAGAGCCTGACAGCCCAACAGGTGGCGAGGCTCCATCCTAGGACCCCCTGACCTGGGCAGAAGGCAGACTTAACCACGTAACTGACTGAGCTACCCAGGCACCCCTCCCATTGTTAACTATATTCTTAAGGTGAAAATCCCAAATTAGTCTCTTAGGGCCTTATTTAGTAATTAGAATTCTATTAACTTTCTTTTTTTTTTTTTTTAAGATTTATTTATTTTGACAGAGACACAGTGAGAGAGGGAACACAAGGGGAGTAGGAGAGTGCTGAGCAGGGAGCCTGATGCGGGGCTCGATCCTAGGACCCCAGGATCATGACCTGAGCTGAAGACAGTTGCTTAATGACTGAGCCACCCAGGTGCCCTGAATTCTATTAACTTTCAAGGATAGGCATAAATTAGAGCAGATAGACCAGTCATATGTTTTCTTAATTCACAATAGTAAATTAATGTGAGTCTTAACAGCTTTTAGGAATGCTCACATAAATCTAGATGATCATTTTATATTTCAAGGATTCTGATGTTAAACTGGTAAACTTGTTCTCTTGTTTCCAGAGCAGTATAGAAACTAGTATTCCTGGTTTTTTCTCCCCTGAGCAATAGGCTCAGTTAAGTATGAACTTAGTAATTTCATTTGAGAATAGTCATGCAGCACATTATTACCTCATACCTATATGGTCTCACTTTAAAGCAGTACAGATATGCAGGGTGACATACTATTTTAAAACCACTGGCCTACCCCAGAACTGAGGGATAGAACTCAGTTTTCTTTCAATATTCTTTCAATTCCTCTGGTACTACGATTATTCTGCATCCAGAAGAGGTAGGTACCTGGCAAGCCACCCATCACAGCTAGGATCACGGTAGGCTAGGATCACTGTGGGCACTGTCTTCAGAAGGACAGGTTTTGATTTTTATTCAGTTGATCTGTAGCTCAATTGTGGGTCCAAAATATTAGTATCTGCTGGGAACAACATGATGTGAGGATCAAAAAATCCCCACTGAGGCTTCCCTGATAGAGCTTAGATACAGGGTTCATTTTAATTACCTCAACCAGAAACATACATCAAAAAACAGCCCTGAAGGAGAAAATCGCTTTTGGTGCCTCAGTGAAAGGTTTGCAGATCAAATGTTTGGGCAAATTTTTGAAAAGATTCTAATACTTGTGTCAGTAAGCTTCTAGGATTGCTCCTCACCCTTACTGGCCTTTCAGGGACTCCACTCTTCCTTCTGTAGGTCGCAAGGATCCAGTCTTTTTATGGTCAAGTTGCAACCATCTACTCTATGTATAAGGGTTCCTTTCCTCAGTTGCCCATGGCGAAGGACATAATCTTTTCAACATATTTGCTTATCATTAAATAAAAACATGCTTTTTTTTTTAATCCCTTCTTTAGATTTCTAAAGTTTTCACTGCTAATAACTATAGGATAGCATGGGTTAAAAAAATAACAAATATGAGTAACTCAAATTCTTTACAACTGATGCAATTTTCATAGTAGCTTAGTTTATGGCTTCTCATGTCCTTTCTTAGATTTTCTTTCAAAGTTCAATACTTTTTTTAATGCTTGTGGTTGAAATTCCTCTAATCTGCTTTTAATCCCCCTTTTGGTGTAGGTTGTTCCTGATGCCGAACAATCCATGTAAGCTATTTGGGCAATTTAGATGTCGCAATGCATAGCTCACATTAGGGAAAACTTAACCAAAGTCTCCATTTGCTGGTGCTCTTGTGTGCGTGTATGCACGTTTTAAACTGTGGTGAAATACATATAAAATATACCATCTTAACCATTTTTAAATATATAATTCAGTTTTGTTGAGTATATTCACCTGGTTGTACAACCAATCTCCGGAACATTCTCATCTTACAAAGCTGAGTGAAACTTTATACCTATTAAATAACAACTCCCCATTTCCCCCTTACTCCAGTTCCTGGCAACCACTGTTCTACTTTCTGTTGCTATAAATTTCACTACTCTGGATACCTCACATAAGTGGAATCATACAGCATTTGTCCTATCGTGATTGGCTTATATCACCTAGCATAATGTTTCAAGGTTCATACATGTTGTAGCATGTACCAGAATTTCATTCTCTTTTAAGGCTGAATATTCCATTTTGTGTATATACCACATTTTGCTCATCCATCGTTGATGGGTATTTAATTTGGGTTGCTTCTACCTTTTTGCTTTTGTGAACAGTTCTATAAACATGGGTATACAAATATCTCTTCAAAACCCTGCTTTTAGAGCCAAGATGTCCATCAGCAAATGAATGGATTAAAAAGATGTGGTATAAATATACAATGGAATATTATGCAGCCATCAAAAGATGAAATCTTGCCATTTGCAACGACGTGGATGGAACTAGAGGGTATTATGCTAAGCCAAATAAGTCAATCAGAGAAAGACAAGTACCATATGATCTCACTGATATGAGGAATTCTTAATCTCAGGAGACAAACTGAGGGTTGCTGGAGTGGTGGTGGGTGGGAGGGATGGGGTGGCTGGGTGATAGACATTGGGGAGGGTATATGCTATGGTGAGCGCTGTGAATTGTGTAAGACTGTTGAATCACAGACCTGTACCTCTGAAACAAATAATACATTATATGTTAATAAAAGAAAAAAAGAAGATAGTAGGAAGGGAAAAATGAAGGGGGCGGAATTAGAGGGGGAGACGAACCATGAAAGACTATGGACTCTGAGAAACAAACTGAGGGTTTTAGAGGGGAGGGTGGGGGGATGGGTTAGCTTGGTGATGGGTATTAAGGAGGGCATGTATTGAACGGAGCACTGGGTGTTATACGTAAACAGTGATTCATGAAACACTACATCAAAAACTAATGATGTAATGTATGGTGACTAACATAACATAATAAAATAAAATAAAAAAAAATCCTGCTTTTAATTCTTTTGGATATATACCCAGAAGCAGAATTTCTGCATTATATGGTAATTCTGTTTTTAATTGTTTGAGGAAGCTCCATATTGTTTTTCATAGCAGTTGCACCATTTTATATTCCCACCAACAACAGTGCATAAAGTTTGCCAACTCGTTATTTTCTGTCTTTTTTCTACTATCCTAATGGCTATGAGGGGGATAGCTCATTGTGTTTTTGATTTACATTTCCCTAATGATTAGTGATACTGAACATCTTTTCATATGGTTGTTGGACATTTGTATCTTTGGGAAATGTCTAGTTCAAGTCCTTTGCCCATTTTTTAGTTGGGACTTTTTTTTTTTTTTTTTAACATGATTGAGCTGTAGGAAATGCTATCCTGTTTCATCTTCCTTTTCTGGTAATAAGACTAGCAGGCTTGCCAAAGTAAAGAAGGTTCTTCAGGACCAATGAGGGAAGTGTTTATTTTTTAGAATTGCAAGTGATATCAATAATCAAAGAAATGTGAGTAGAAGAGATTGAGACCTCCCCCCCCCAACTGTGTCAGCAAGGACACTAAGCCAGGGAAAGGTATTTCAGTAGGATCACTAATCCTTAGGAGTGCTGGAGTATGAAGTCCATGGCCAGAGAGACAGAGAAATAAGAATAAGGAACAGTGGGTCCAATTAGTATCCAGGAAGGTGTTCCTGAGCAAATGGCCAGGGAAACCAGTGTTGCTTTTGACTTGTCTTTTAGGTGTTTATACTAATTGATATAATATGACATGATTTGATATAATATAATAATATAATAGGGTAGGCTATTGTGTTAAAGGCTTAAAGGGTATATAAGTTCTTTTAATTTTTTTTTTTTTAAGATTTTTTTAATTTTTATTTGAGACAGAATGAGAGAGAGAGAGCACATGAGAGGGGGGAG